CACAGAAAGACCATCCCACAGCACTTCCCCTTTTCTGTCTAATCAAAAAGGAAGGTTTTTATTTTAACATAGTAAAATTACATATAACAAAATAGTTATCAAGCAAAAATTACAAAAACTGCTTTTTCTAATCACCAACTGAAAACATTATTGTGCATAACTATTTTTTTAGAAATATATTTGTAACTTGGACATTTGGATAGTTTCTTTCCAATGCAAAACAGAGTGTTTCAAAACAATCAAGATATTCTAAGCTTACTATGAATAATTCATACAGTGTGGACAGTGAACACTAGGAACTGAGTCACTTGATTTGTTATCATCCCTGTCATGACTTATTATACAATCTCCAACAAGTTAATTTCTTCAATAGTCACTTCCAGAATTTTACTGTGCATCAAATGTCATGCTGGATGTTATAAATAGGTTTTATACACTCCACCCCACCTATATTTATTTGTGTGTGTAAAATCAATGTCTTTCTGGAACTCAGAGCATAGAGTATAATCAGGCAATTGGGCAAACTGAAAACTTTTTCAGCAAATTCATTTTCCTTGGACATAAAGATAAACTAGATTTCCTAGCCTCCATGTACTGGCATGCTGACCAACAGAATGTGAGTGGAGGTGATATGCTATATCTGGGCCTACATAAGAATAACCATGAAAAATCCTCCCTCTGGGCTGTCAGCTTCTTGTTAAGGTTTGTATAGAAGACTCAGGTCTAAGATGTTTAGAGCCACAAGATGGAAAGAAGTAGCTGCTAAGTGACTGAGATATAGAGCTGCTTGTTAGCAGTAGTCTATGCTATCAAAGCATGTACCAAAACTGGCTCCAGCACATTGGATATCAAGGGCGTACAGGATGATGTACCAAAAAGAGGTAGATCACCAGGACGATGGCTGAGAATCAGAGGATGTTCTCCAGAAGAAAGGCCTAAGATGAACAATGAAGGACAGAGTGTGACAGAGACAGTGAATGGAGGGAAGCAGAGAAGATGCAGTGGTAGGTAACTGGAAATACAGAAAGTTCTAGAGAGACCCTGGGAAATAGAGCAGTTCTACTTGCATCTGCTGAAATGATTGACACAAGACAGAAGCTAAGGGATTTGTTGACAACTAGAAAAGAGGACAAAGAAAAAGAAAAGTATAGCTAAGGACTATGTGATGTGCAGGACAGAAGTTTTTACTGAGAAAACACAACAGAAAGGTAAATAGAAAGAGTTTGGGTTTTGCAAACATTAAAGTGGTATCAATCTAAAACACCCAAGAGAAGAATCAACAGGTAGGTGGATACATGAGCCTTGAGCTCATGGGAGATTATTTATAGAGAATTGATGGAGAATGCTTAGGTAGAACATTCTTAGTCAGCTGCCAAAGATGGTGGGAAAGGAGAGGGAGAGAGAAGGACATAGGGAGGGAAAAGGGCAATAGAAAAGAGGGACAGAGGGAAAGGGAGGGACATGGGGGAGAGAGGGACATAGGGAGAATGACAGGGGGAATGAGAAAATGGAGGAGAGAGGGATATCAGAAGAAGAAGGGAAAGAGGAAGGAGGGACATGGGGGAAACAGGACATAGGGAGAGGGAGGGACAGAGGGAGAGGGAGGGACAGAGGGAGAGGGACGGACATAGGGAGAGGGAGGGACAGAGGGAGAGGGAGAGACAGAGGGAGAGGGAGGGACATAGGGAGAGGGAGGGACAGAGGGAGAGGGAGGGACAGAGGGAGAGGGAGGGACATAGGGAGAGGGAGGAACAGAGGGAGAGGGAGGGACAGAGGGAGAGGGAGGGACAGAGGGAGGGACAGAGGGAGAGGGAGGGACAGAGGGAGAGGGAGGGACAGAGGGAGAGGGAGGGACATAGGGAGAGGGAGGGACAGAGGGAGAGGGAGGGACAGAGGGAGAGGGAGGGACAGAGGGAGAGGGAGAGACAGAGGGAGAGGGAGGGACAGAGGGAGAGGGAGGGACAGAGGGAGAGGGAGGGACAGAGGGAGAGGGAGGGACAGAGGGAGAGGGAGGGACAGAGGGAGAGACATAGGGAGAGGGAGGGACAGAGGGAGAGGGAGGGACAGAGGGAGAGACAGAGGGAGGGACAGAGGGAGAGACATAGGGAGAGGGAGGGACAGAGGGAGAGGGAGGGACAGAGGGAGAGGGAGGGACAGAGGGAGAGGGAGGAACAGAGGGAGGGAGAAAATGGAGGAAACAGGGATACAGGAAAGAAAGGGATGGAGGAGGCAGGGCCATGGTGGGGGGAAGGGACATAGGAAAGAGGGACACTGAGGGAGAGAGGAACATAGGGAGAGGTATATTTGAAAAAAATCCTAAAACTCCAATCTATTTGAGAAATTGGAGCTATTTGTGACTTTAACAAGTTCCTTCTTAGTACTCATAAAAGACACACTAAAATATCTGTGGTGAATGAAGGATGAATAATCACAGAAATATAAATATGCCTTAAGGAAACCAGATTTTTTAAACAATCTATGAAGGAACAAAGAGATTTTGCTTCATCTTGATTTTTACTTTTCAGGATGAAAGAATTCAGTATGCATCTGCTTCTCTGAATGTTTGCTTTCCTACCTAGAAATGGAGAAAATAATGCCCCATCTGCATGGTCCTTGCGGTTGATGTCATAATAAGTAACACAACACCTGTGAAGGCACTCAAAGATATGGTGTGTCAATGCCAATATTAATCCATTACATTGCCAAAATGGAGTTATAGCATTAAGAGACCACAGAAACTATAAAAGCCCATGAAAAGCCATAATCAGTACAGATCTAGACACATGAAGAAAATGTTGCTTTTACACAGTAAAAGTTGCTGACCCCAAGCTTTAGAGGCTAACATCCTGAGGACCATGCTGGGCAGTTTTCACTTCTAGGATGTAGTCTAGGTTTCCAGATTTCTTTATTTTGCTGAGGGGAAAAAATAAAAAACAAAACAAAATAAAATAAAAACAGGCCAATGAGCCCTGGTAGATGGCTGCACATTAAGTCATTTGGGGATGTACTAGTCTTACAATTGTAGTTCTTAAATAAAGGTTCCTGGCTGTGTTCCAGTTTCATACAGCAATAGACTCATTCCATAATTTATGCCTCATGATCAGTGAAATCATGGTGAATGACCACAGCTTGCTGAGTGTGTTATTCCAAGGAGTGGCTGAGGTAGTCTGGGAAGTAAGCTAGGATTTTGGATTTCTCTCCTGGGAAGATAAACCATCCAAAAGGGTATGATCCAATCATTATTTCACCAGTCTCAGAACCATTGAAGACTTTACAAAGAGCATTATTTTTAGTTTTGTGACAATGATGTAGCAAGGACTTCGCTCACAGAACTCCTAGTGGGTGATTCTTAACCTGTTCTATCTTGCTCCCCGGGGAAGACATCTTATCCCTGTTAAGTAGAAGCAGTCTCCATCCTTCACATTGTACTATGTACAACTGCTCTGACTGCATATCCCAGCTGATGATTTTATTTTGGGGGTGAAGAGTACTAATGAAGGCCGACCAGCTGTGTATTCAGCTCCAAATAGAGTTATGAAGAATACAGTTTTCCTTTATAATACAAACAGAAAGTGCAGTTCCAGGACCTGAATAAACTTTATTTGCAATTACTTTTGCATTTTCTGACAACCCAGGCCAGGCTACATTAACATGGTGCTTCTTTTATCTGCTTTTCTAAATTATTTTATTTTATTTATATCAGTGTATGACTGCACCATACACAGATATTAAATTAGGCCAAATAGACACATGTAAGCTTTTAGAGCTTTTGTCCACTGTAATACTGAATTTCTTTCTAGGGCTAAGATTCAATGAAGCACCTTGGTCTGGGACAGTGGGTACATGGTGGCAGTTCACTTATTCAGTAGATTGAGGCAGGAGAATCATATGAGCTCAAGAGTTCAAACCCAGATTGGGCACATAACAAAACCCCAGGGGTGGGGGCAGAAACATGCTCCTTATAAATTAAAAGTAGGAGCTCAGTGATTAAGAGTACTTACTGCTCTTGTAGATGGCAAGGGTTTGGTTTCAAGTACTCACAAAGCAGATCACAACCATCCACAATTCCAGTCCCAAAATATATACATACAGGCAAACACTCATACACACAAAGTATTTCTTTTATTTATGTATGTATGTATGTATGTATGCATGTATGTATGTATGTATGTATACAGCATGTATGACTGCAGGCCAGAAGAGGGCACCAGATCTCATTACAGATGGTTGTGAGCCACCATGTGGTTGCTGGGAATTGAACTCAGGACCTCTGGAAGAGCAGTCAGTGCTCTTAACCTCTGAGCCATCTCTCCAGCCCCACAAAGTATTTCTAAAGTAACACAAAATAAATAAATATTTTGCCATTACCTCGACAGGGTTCCAGAGAATACAAGCCTTCTATTGTCCTCAAACAATACCACCAAACATTTATTTACATAGACATCTACAGATAAACAAATATTTTCCATATATTTACTTCATTTAGGCTTAAATAACATGTTGTGTACTTACAATCATTCACTTGTCTGTACAGGAAAATTACAGGGCTAGACATATAGGTAAATCAACATATAAACTGGTCACACAGTTGTCCAGAAAGGTCCTCTAGTCCCCAAGCTCCTCCTATGACACAACAGACATTCCTCATCATGTCATCCACTCTGTTTTTATTTCACTTCTGTAGCAACATGGAAAACAGCCTGGCCTCCTTTGTAGTCATTAGGAATCTTGGATGAAGCACAGACATGAACTCAGTTCTCGCTGAGAAATACATAATATGTTAATTATAGAGAGAATGTTGTAGGATCATTTTGAGTGTGGAAACTTTTCAGAGGAATTCATAAATGAGCTTAGAATCCTTAAGGGCCAAAGATATTCCAATCAAACTATTAAATGTGGAACTGGGAGGAGCCTCCACAAGCTATCAGTATTTTCATTTGCATGATTTTTTTGTTCATAGAAAACTAATTTTTGAAAATATTTCAAACAACACAACTCACCTGTAGATGGAAAAGGAAGCTACTGATCGGATGAGGGATGCCACAGCCCCCACTTTGGCAGCTTCCACAGCTCCCTGATGACGATATTGCACTGTAATCCCGTAGCTGGTGTAAGGCTGGTTATAAACAATGATCTTCCCTCTTGCCTCAGATGCCCTTCTTTGGAGTTCATCAAAAGAGGTCACTACCAGTACTTCTGCCGTGATGCCTGGAAATAAAAGTAAAACAGTTAACTTGTGCTTTCCCGTCAGCTGGGTGGAATTGGCACACAAAAGGTCACACATGTTCTATTGGCTACATCTGGCAAACTGAGTGGAGAAGATTGAAGTTTGAGAGTTAGTTACCATGGGAGCAAGACTACAGAGTTATTCATCTGCCCAAGACAGAGACAAGACATTCAAAACAATATGACATATGACTCAAGGTTTTCAACTCACTCCACCAGGCAGTCTTAAGTCACAAATGGCTTGAAAACATACCTTTCCCCCTTTCCTCTGAAACCATGTATTTCATTAGAGGACACTGTTTATTTTTAAAATTATATTTCAGAAATCTTAGTGTTAATGAAACACATATTTAGCCCTTCATAAAGGTGTTTTCAGATGTTACTAAACAACTCTCAGTGACAGAAAAGGGTTGCAGCCTGGGAAGAACACTCTTAGAAGACAATGTTTTTTTATAAATTCAACTTTTAACAAATAATGCCTTCTCCTGAGAAAAATGAAAAGTCAACCTGTTTTCTTTTCTTCTTTCAATAAAAACACTCCAAAAAGATGTGGAAACTTCCTGTGTTTCTCACTTACAATAATTCATCACCAAAAATACACTACTGTTCTTCAAATAAAAAATGCAGAACATGTATTAATGCCCTTGAATCCTTTTGTTCTGGTTAGATGTGTCCACTTCCTCATACCACTTTCCCACATCACCATATCTTCTTGATTAAAGGAAGAGGGTTTCTGTCTTCCAAGAATTCATGCAAACACATCTACACAGACATACCCATGTATATACATACCTAACACATACACATACATACTCACACACAAATATACAAACACATACTCATACACACATACTCAGATATACACACACTCACATACATACACACAGAGGACAGTTGCAGTGGCTAAATCTAACTAAAAGACATCTATTCTGGTTTTGCTTTTTGTGTATGCTAGGAATTGAATTTAAGGCAAGCACTCAAATGCTGAACCACATTCACAGTCCCTAATGTCTATTACTCTATGGCGTTAGCCATGCAATTATTGAATATATTAGCAAACTCTGAAGTAATGAGCATACATCTGTTATATTTTCTTAATATTACAAGCCTGAGAATTTTAGGATGTTGGTTTCTTTTTGGGAGGGTTTTTTTTTTCTTTGAAAATTTAAAAGATGCCTGATAATGGTAACTGTCACTTGGAAAAATCCTTTAACAATTCACTCAGGTACTAGGAAATTCTTGCTTTCAATATAGGCCCCACTGTAAGAAGTCTCTGGGCTATGACTAGTTACAAATCTATAAGCATTTATCAACCAACAACTCAGAATTTTATTTACAATCCAAAAGAAGCAATACATAATTACAAAAGGAAGGAAGTCATCAGCTTTCCACATAATAAAAATGCATTGAAAACATGAATGTGGATTCAGGTAGGCAAATTCTGAGATTCTGAAACCTAGAGTTACCTTGAAATTTGACCAATGTTAATGTTAGTGTTATACAATAATTTTGCTGATGGCTTTCAGTCTTTCTTCATTAATTAAAGGTTCATTGGTTCAATTCAACATGATGCTCAAACAATGGGGTAATTTTCATATCTGGATTAAAACTACTAGAAATGAAGCTAAATTTCTTCAAATTTTCAAAATTAAATGAAGGGTGTTTCCTTCACTATAGTGTATACCTCAAATTCCTTTGGTACATAAAAAAAAGGAGACTTCGAGAGCCATAAAGCAAACTCGACAGCCCAGAGGCCAATATTTGTAACATTGTAACATTTGTAACATCTATAGGTCAAAGCCCAGGCCTGGAAGAAGAGTTTGAATGAATATATTTCCCAGAAAGCAGAGTCCTCTCTGATTCATTTGTCTGTTTCATCCCATCATCCAATCAATATTCAAAACACTGACAATTTTTCCTCTTAGAAGTCAACACTGACTGAGCCCATGTCTCCTATCTCACCCTGTTACATGCTCTCACGTCAGGTCCTCAGTACCTGTATTTTAGACTTTTATAAACCCTGCCTTCCCAACACTTTCACCACTACTGGCATCTCAGCCTCCAGCTCAGCTCGTTCAAACGCCACAGACTTTCCAGCTCTGACTACATTAACTACTGAGAAGTCAGATTTGTCTACAATACCACCACTTTGCTCCTATCCTACTTCTGAAATCTTACTTCAAAGACTCACCTTTCAGCCTGTCATTCCAAGCCTGTCTACCTCTATAGACACATTTGCTTTTATTTTAGAATTCATTAGTACTGATCTTAATGTTCTCACTCTCTTTCTCTGCTAATTTTGTTCATGGTGTCTTTATTCATACTCTTGTACATCATGTCTTATGGACCTTTTTCCCAACTTCATCTTCAGAACAAATCACCTATCCACCAGGATCCTGTTAAAAAATCACTGCTTAAAGTTCTCTAAAGGAGCATTTTCTGGCCTCATATTTTCTGTCCTATCTTCTCACTCCCAGCTAGTAAAGCCTAAGTATGTATTTAGCTCCCTCCAGACTTTCAGGGCACCCTAGATATAGCAGTGTGAGAGACAAATGAAACTCTTTTGGGGGCTCTCTCTACTGCCCAAAGATGGTCTCCTTGGAATTTTGGGCCATGTTCATTTTGGGGAACAGTGCCTGGCAGTATGTGAGCATAGCTGGTCACTGTATGTCACTTGATTGAAACTGCTCCAAATAAGACACCATTTTAACTTGACCTACAAAATTTGATAGTCCTTCCATAGTCACCTAGGAATTCATTCTCATACCACCCACCCAGGACACATCTGCAAATCAATAACTCATCAAAGACACTCTGGGGCAGTCTGAATATAAATATAAATTTCAGGTATAAGAACTCAGATTCTAGAACATAAAAACACTTGTCTAAATATTCTTCCTTTACACAAAATTCTACAGCTAGCATTGAAACAAATCAAGGGGACAAGACAGATCTAAAGCTGATAGCAGTGCCATGAAAAAAAAGAATAGTAATAATCAAAGGCAGAAGCATTCTAAATAACAAACACTAAGAGAATTTCCTACAGTGACATAGATATTCCACTCCAGAGGTGACACCTTAGTCATCAGCCATAGATGGCCCCTGAGCACTCAGAAAACAACTATTGTGACAAAGAAACTAAATTTTTAATGTCATTTATTGATAATTGATGTATATTTACATTTAAACAACCATGTGGGGGTAGAACTCTCAGTTATTACAGCTCAAGCCATTAAGAAGAGACCATCACTGAGAGCATTGTTGCTGGCCCCAAGGGACTTGCTAATGACAGTCTGATAACATATGTGAGTCATGATTGTGACCCCAAGAGGTCACAGACCAGGTGACAGTACTCAACAGCCACATTTGGCAAGGCGGGTGATGTATACAACTCGCACACCGCACACCGTGGGAAGATGAATTTAATGAGGCCGTCTGGAAAACTCCCTTTATGCTACACCAAGGAAGATACTCATGCCATGCTATGATCAGCAGTTCTTGTCTCTCTCTCTCCTCCTACCACCCCCCCATTCTACAAGGCTGCTCACAAAAGCCTCTAAGAACTCTGTAATGTCTACAATAATGCCTGCCATGAAATTTATGCTCATAACGCTTCCTACATCCAACTTTAGTCCACTTAGTATCCTTAATTTTGTCACAGCTTAACAGTATCTAATTGCATCCATTGTGATAATATAAGGTACATGGGAAGTAAAACTCTTGTCAGTTTTTGTCATTAATGTTATACAAACGTAAAATAGGACTCATACATATATATGACACATACATATGTGTGTATACGAACACTGAATAACTGAAAGAAAAATATAATGGCCCAGCTGTATCACCTTCCACAAATGTGTTTCCCCAAGGGCCTTTCATATTTCTGTATTTCAGATAAGTACTAGCACCAGTGTCTACATTTGGGTGCGCACTGGTTATTCTAATGCTTACAACTCTGCAGAGTAGTTTCTATGAGGACACTGAAGTGTAGAGATTTAGGTTTATATAACAAGTTGGTATTAAAGCTGAAATTTGAATTTTTGGTCATTTGCATCCTTGGGTCACATATTTCCTGCTAACTGCATTGCTGTGTTCTATAATAAATGTAAAATATATGGCAATAAAGCTTGGAGTTTTTATTTATTTATTTATTTATTTATTTATTTATTTTGGTTTTTCGAGACAGGGTTTCTCTGTGTAGCTTTGCGCCTTTCCTGGAACTCACTTGGTAGCCCAGGCTGGCCTCGAACTCACAGAGATCCGCCTGGCTCTGCCTCCCAAGTGCTGGGATTAAAGGCGTGCGCTACCACCGCCCGGCCGGAGTTTTTATTTTTAAGAGGAATAAAAAGGTAAAGAAAAACCAATATAAGATCTGCCAAAGTTGTCAACAGTTCTTTTTCAGGCTTTTGCTCGTAAATTGGGGGCTGTTACACATATTAAGGCCTGGGTTGGCAATATGGGATGCAGGAGGGAGCTTTGCTCTAGGGCAGTGAGTCTTAACCTTCCCAATGCTGCGACCCTTTCACACAGTTCCTCATGTTGGCTGATCCTCAACAACAAAACTGTTTTTGTTGCTGTTTCACAACTGTAATTTTGCTAATGTTATGAATCATAATGTAAATATCTGTGTTTTCTGATGGTCTTACGTTACTCCTATGAAAGGGCTGTATAGGCCTCCAAAGGCACAGCCTACCCACAGGCTGAAAACCACTGCCCTAGGGCAAGACTTATCAGACTGGTAAGAATGATGAAAAGAATAATGGTCATTAATTTCCAAAGAGACTGTGGAAATGAAGACAAACAAACCCAAAGTTTACCAGAAAGATTACAAAAATTCTCAGGTTCATTTTTTTTTTTCACACTTTATTTTCCAGTTCAAAATTTCTAAGCCATTTACCCAGTCCGTGACTATTTCCAGCAGTCTCCCTACAAAGGCAAAGCAGAATGCTGACCACTGGCTACTGTCATTTGTTCTATGA